CCCGAAGATGCTGGCGGTCGATCACTACTTCCACGAGGGCATGAGGGCGCGCGTCCGAACGGACGATGGGCAGTNGTCGTCGACCTCACCAAGGCAGACGAATCGGTGGACCGAGACCTACTGTGGGATGTGCTCCGACGCTTCGGCGTGCCCCCGAAGATGCTGGCGGTCATTCGCCACTTCCACGAGGGCATGAGGGCGCGCGTCCGAACGGACGACGGGCAGTACTCGGAATGGTTCGACGTGGGCCAAGGCCTCCGACAGGGATGCAACCTGGCCCCGCTGCTGTTCAACTTGTTCTTTGCCGCGATGCTCAAGATTGCCGTGGCCGAGTTCGACAAGGACCCCAAGGTGACGGCGGACATGGTCAAGATCGGGACACAAGTGGAGTACACGGGCAAGAAGGGCAGGTCGGCGGGGAAGAAGACGACGGTGGTGACGGACGCGGAGGCCTTGTGGACCATGCTCTACGCTGACGACGCGGCCATCGTCTCGCGCTCGCCGGAGAGTCTCGAGAAGATGATGTCGGTCATCGTGCGCGTGGCCGGTCTGTTCGGACTGATGGTGTCGGAGCCAAAGACGGAGATAATGTTCATGCTGCCGAAAGGGATCGGGGAACGCCCGTTCACGGTCAGCGCCGCCGGCCAGACGTACAAGCAGACAGATCGGTTTGTGTACCTCGGACGTACCATCTCCGCGGACGGGAAGGCCGACCGGGAGATCACGAGCCGCAGCTGCCGAGCGTGGAAGTGCTACCGCCGGAACAGTGCTTCGATGTACGACAGGCGACGGGCCGACCGCCAGCTCCAGATCCGGCTACTCCAGGCTCAAGTGGTGGAGACTCTCCTATATGGGTGCGCCTCGTGGAGCCTAACAGCGGAGCGCTACACGAAGCTCAATGGGACCCACCGCCAGTTCCTTACATGGTGCATCGGCTGGAGCAAGCGGAAACGCTCAGACCGCCCAATGTCCCATGCCCCTGCCCTCATCCAGGCCGGCTGCGAGGAAACCATAGAGGCCACCGTGCGCAAACGAAGACTGTGTTTCGCGGGCTTTGTTATTCGCATGGAGGACAACCGCCTCCCCAAGCGCATGCTGTTGGGAGCGATGGCGGGGGGGCGTGGGATACCGGGGCGAGCAGGAGAGCGACTGGGTGTCTCGTCTAGGAGAGGACCTCGTGGCCTTCAACATGGGAGACGAAAAGGAAGGGGGGAAATAGAAAGAGAGCGCCAAGGACCCGGAGGTGTGGTACAACAAGGTCGAGGACGGGGCGACATGGTTCATGAGGAAATGGCACAGGCAGGAGGCGGAAGCGTCCGCGAAGCGCCAGCGCGCGAGGGAAGCAGAAGCAGAGAGTACGGCCATCTCGGGACCGAAGAGAAAGAGAGTCGGGGAAGCGGCGGTGGGGGGGAAGAAACGGCGACCGGGCACTGCTGAAGAAACGAGTAGGGCGGCCGAGGCAGCACTTGTGGCGACCTATGTACCCGGCTGATGTTGTTGCGCCCTGTTTCCCTCCCTGCTGTATGCTATACTCCTTTACGTATGTCCTTTGTATTGCCTCTGCTGTGTTTCTTTTTCTCAGGTCCTCCCTGCCTACTCTGCCGTGTTGGGTACCTTGATCTCCTTTTACTGTTGCTTTTTTTTATATACATCTGGATGTCTGCCCATCTGCCGCCTCTTTGTTCTGTTGGCCCCGTTGCTCCCATGCCCTGGTGCGTAATGCCTGGTGCTGGTACGTTACCCTTTGATTTTTTAGGCGGGTGTGGGAAGCGTCCTCCTATATTTTTCTCGTTTATTTATTTTGATCGGTTTCCGAGAGATCTTTTCTCGACCGGTCGGTGCGGTAGTTGTTCCTTTCTTNTTGATTTTTTAGGCGGGTGTGGGAAGCGTCCTCCTATATTTTTCTCGTTTATTTATTTTGATCGGTTTCCGAGGGTTCTTTTCTCGACCGGTCGGTGCGGTAGTTGTTCCTTTCTTTCTATCATTTTGTTTTCTTTTTCCGAGTGGTTTGTACCCTATTCTGTTTTTGTTTCCCCGCGGCGTCGTTTGTGCCGGGTTTTGAGACCACGGGCTCTCCATTTTTGTGGACTATAGAGCTAGTGAGAAAAAACAACAAACCCCGGCTACCAGTCAACTCTCAATCCTGTTATTTTTTTACAACAGGAACAGACGAACAGACCGACATTGGCTTTCTCTCCAACTTCAAGAAGCGGAGCGGTCTGATCGGATTGCGCTCCACACCCTCGGTTGTAGCGGGTAATGGGCACTGCTGTACCACACAATAAGCTACGTGACGACAGTATTGTAGTTGGGATTGCTAATCAATATCATTGGACCCTACCGATAGGCAGGGCAGCAGGTCCTTCGTGTATTGACTTATGTATGCATATAATCCAAAACTACAGAACGTGGCCGGAGATAAAAACGTCAAAATGGGGTCGAGCCTCAATTTCTTATTTTGGGCAGAAGGACCAGCCGAAGTCAGCCTAATTTCTTAAAACGGATTTTTTTCTTGTTCCTTTGGGCTGTCGCATCCTGCTGATTCTCTTATTTTCTACTCCGTATTTTCTTACTCGTAGCGAAGAAAATATCACACCAACCAGTACACCAGCCGTGGCTAGTGGGTATAGCGCAGCCCGTGGAGGCGCTGGGGCGCGGGTGGCGCCGCGAAAATATCCTCTACCCCCCCCCCTACCAATTAGTATTACATGATCTAGGTACTTCGGGGGTGGGAGCATGGCAGCAGCAGCAGCAGGGGCACGTTTCTTAATGGACACGCTCCCCCAACAACCCCTTGTTTCATATTCTGTCTAAGGGTATGGCACGATCGATTATGTTTCTCATCGGGACGTTTCGTATGTTGTGGTCGAGATTGAGATGAGTTTCGTAGCCCTGTTGTTCTTATTTTTCGTGAAAAGTTGAGCCTTATTTTCTGAACAGGATGTTCTTTGTTGGGCCCGTATGAAATGCGCTACCATCTCTTGTCTGTAGCTCAGTTGAAGCCGAAATTATCACCTCGTGGGCGAGCGTACTGCTGTGGTACTGCCATGATTTCCTGCATGAACTCAAGCACACGGAGGTGCTGCCGTGCTGTCAGATTCAGTCTAGCCATGTTGCTGCATGTGTTGTTTGTGCCGCAGGATTCCGCAAACGACACATAGCTTGTACCAAGCTTGGCTGTACATTTGAGAGACAAAATAAATGTAGAGGCACAAATACTCGAAATAAGTCCAGTACCCAGCCGGTTTTCCTCCACTTACTGAAAAGACTCCACCACATCCCGTTCGACTGTGGGTATATCTCGAATGGGTAGTCTTTCTGTGCGTGCATTTATTTCTCCTTAATTAAATACAGTTGTAGACTAGAGCCACAAATCTGTCCGGGCGTGTTGCACCGCAACAAGTCTGTCGATATAGAGCAGACGACACGTGCAAGGGAGACAGAGAAAAGAAGAGGGCTTTCTGTGCGGGTATGTTTACTTCCTAAATAGAGAGCCATTCACACACGGTACAGATACAGGGTTCTTTAGCAGTAGTGGACGGTTTTCGCAACGCCGCGACTGTAGGTAGCTACAGACAGGCGGGCTGAGAAATAGGCGTTGCCCTGCTGTACGTAGTCTACATATACACGTAGTCTATTCTACATGTGTGTTCGACTTACGAAATCCGCGAAGAGATGCGGGCAGCTGAAAATTTTGACGGTAGGTGTGGCACCACGGAACGCACATGACCACTGCCGCAGGTGTCGAACATGATTATTGTCTCCATCAAAACTCACGTGATCCCGCTTGGCTTTTTGCCTCCCTCGCTTCGCGATCTCATTCGCGAATTTTCCACAGTCCCGTCGCACCGCGAGCGGCAGACCAGCCGTCGACCAGGACATCATCACGATCACACCCACGCTTGGCTCTCTCCAACCCTGTGATACACCCACCGGCGAGGAAGGCACGAAAGTACCATGGAGCTTCTAAGCACACGGCGGTTCACTGTGTTTGGATGCGGCCATCGCAGCGCCGCGGAAGAGGGTAGGTTGGTCGGGGCAAATGGCGGAGAAAAAACAAATACCTGCACGCGTGGCGACGATAGTCCTGCTGTTGCTGGCCCCCTCGCGTTTGAAAAGGACGGGGAGGCAATTGAAATCCCGACTATGCAGCTACGCGAGCTGAATAACACCAACACCTCGAGGTATGGAAAGGTGGAGGACCTAGCCAATAGCGCCCAGTTGAAATACTTGGCACACTCGGTACTGTCTGCTGTTGTGATTCGCCGCTGCGGTTCGACGGTGCTGGCAGGGTTGATGTTTCAGGTCAACCTCGTGTGTGCTGCGTACGTGACGATTTGAAAAATAATGGAGTTGAACCAGGGATGTTGGGTTGCGAAGGTCCTGACCCTTGCTCTACCGACTCCTCAACTGCAATTACAAGGGGGTGGCGTGCTTACGGCCCTCGCAAGCGTCCCTTTTTTCATAGCTTGTACATGGGCCACAAATCCAGTTTCCTACTGATCGCACCCTGTCAGCGATCAGCGCCTTGGGTCATGCCCACCAAAACACAAGCTGAAATCCTCTTCATGCGTATGCCATGATGTATCATCATATTTATTGTTCACGCTGGAGCTCGTCCTGCTATTTGCTCAACACTCCTCTCAACTCTCGCGGTGTTGTTAAATTCAAGTTTTGCAGTTGGTGTACGCTTGTTGTACGGCATGGACCAAGTGCTTTTCCAGGATTCGCAATGTTGATGCATGCCCATCAGAGCTGCATCCCCAGTAAGGACTAGATTATGGGCTAGAGAAATGACACACGAAACTCTTTTCCTGTCTAGAAGAGTGGCGAAGAAACCCCCGGGATACAGAACCTCGTGTATCATCCAAAGTTGACAACTGTACATTCCCCAAGGGATACCCATGATATGGAGCCCCACAATGTCTCCGTAGACCTTCTACACCATTTGCTTCCGTTGACCAAAGTCTACAAGCACTATGCACTCTGGATGTAGAGTAGGCTGTACTGGAAAGTGTTCCATGGATATCACGTCAGAAAGGTATCGACAAGTACCTTTGCAGTTTGTCCTCACATGGCATGGCGTTGGCATGGATCTGTTGCTGGGCCGCTGCCCTGCCAGTCTTCCCTACATGCAAGAGACCGCCAGACAATTCATCGACCCGGTTCACTGGCCTCACTCGATTGACGAAAAGGTTCGTCGGCCTCATGGAGAAACACGGTTTCGTTGTGCTGACGGAGACGGGCGCCATTCGGGACGCCTACCTGGAGTTCATGGAACTCCTGAAGGCTTTTTTCGACGGCGGTTCCGGCTGGAAGGAGACCTTCAAAGGGAGGGTGCACTTCAACGAGCGCGGCATCCCGATGGTGAGGGAAGGCCTTCGCTGCAGACAGGGATGCATCGTTCGTTCATTCGTTCGTGTTTTTGTTTCACGCGTTTATCGAAGGACATATTCCCTGAGGATGTTTGGAATGTAGCTGCTGTCCTCTCGGCAGACAGGCTGGGCCTGCGTGTCACATGAACGCCATTTCTGAGCCCCGAGTTGAGCGCCGAACGTTGGGTGGACCGCTGGATGGATCGTGGATCACGATCAGACCGATTCTGAAGGCGGTGTGGCACACACAGATACACAGCACCAACCTCGCGCGACGGCTTGCAAGCTACACGTATGACAGAAGCGCGCGCCTACCGCACCATCATCGCCAAACACAAGACTAACATTCGCGCAACTCCGAACCCATTCCTCTCCGAAACCACACGGCAATAGTGGCACACCGGTTACGAAAAGTGCGGTAACGTCCGCGAGGTGTTTCGGGCGCCGACTTCAGCTTTCCCGCCATCTTCCCAACGGCAACCGTGGCCCTGCCCACGCCTCCACCGGGCCTGGCTCGCCATACTGCGCCTCCTCCAGCGAGTGTGCCACCGCGCGCTGACCTTAACGTTGGGCCGCCCTGTGCTGGGAGCGCCGCCGGCGAAGGAAAAAAAGAGCCGCAGCACCAGCCGGCAAGGGGGAGCGAGCCAAAAGGCGGTAGATGGGCTGTTGTGCGAGCGATGCCCCGTGTGCGGCAGCAGTCTGCGGGAGGGGAAGGAACCGGAAGAAGGAAATGCCGCTGCCGCCATGCGAGGGGATAAAGGTGGTGATAGTAGCACCGGCGGCAAGGACGGCGAAGCTTGCCACCGGGGCCGCTTTGTTTGCTCCGAGATCCAGGATGATATAGGAGGCGGCTGCAACAGAGACAGCTGCGATCATGACTCCGACGACGACTTCTCCGTGAGCTATGCGCTCAGATACCCAAACGAATACGCCGACCCAGCCCTGGAGCAAGAAGATCTGACGGTAGGGGAGCACATCGACCCGAGCCTGTTTGTGGCGGAGCCTTGCTGCGGGGTGGAAGGATTGGAGATTTGCGACCGGGCGTCGGGAAGGTGCTGTTGCGGGTGGGGGACGCGTTTGGGTTGGTTGAAGGAAGGGTAGAGCTCCAGTATCCGAGGTTGTTTTTTTTACGAGTAGCATTGGAGACAGGGAGGGATGGCGTAGAAGCCGAATTGAGAAGATCAAGGAACTTGTGTGTACGCCCAAGCTGTTGTTGGATCATGTTCGATGTGATTCTGTAAAACCGACAATTTTCATGGGACAAAGGGGGCATTTTCTGCGTACCGCTGGTGACGACTACGTATGTCTGCCCAGGCCATCTGCCCCTTCGAGTACGATGCAACCTCAAGCAGCTGCATCGCCCCAACAGTATCTCCGAACACCGATTGAAATGTTGAAAATGTCAGGGCTCTACGGTGATGCTTGTACATGCGATGCGCATCACCATCTTCACAACAGGTTTCACGGACGAACCAATCCTCACATGAGGAAATGTATACCCCTGAAGATTGAGAGTCCACGATAATTTCCGTTTCGAGCCACACTCCAATCAAGGTTGAGGGTTAGATGGAATCAGAGAGAGGGGGGTAAACGGGTAGCAGGCACCGACAGTCAATTCATTCCGAGGAGATATCCCCAACACCCCACCATCCGAGTGTCAACCTAGAGCAATACCAACAATATCTGTTGGTTACTTTCTCCTGAGTATTTCGCTGTCTACATGTATGTGGAAGCTCAGGTATTTTATAAGACGCATATAAACACAACACACATTTTGTTCCCCCTCTCGGATTCTACCCGTTCGCAGCTGGCTCCCTGTTGAAGCCGTCTGCGCGGGTCTTGGGAGCGATGGATGCCGAAGCCTGGCTGCAGCAGAAGGCAGAGAGCTCATCCTTTTCAGTGGCAAGGTGGGTAAGCATGGATGGATTACAGCTTTGGTGTGGCTAACGAAGTCCTGGTGATATTAGTTTCAAATTTCAGTTCGTAGTAACTCTACTTCCGTCGCACAGCAAGGCACATGCGTCAGGATAAGTGCCTAGGTACTCACGTGCATTTCTTGCAAATCTACGCACATCCTAACGCATGTATGGTCTCCTTTCCCCCCCCACACACACCTAAGTTTTCTTGTTCTTTGGCTGCCCGATGTATCTGTCATGTGTTTCGCCGCCCTTGCTCATCACTTCGTGGTTTGGCCCGGCGCGATGCAGGCGCTAGAGCGGGCGACGGAAGGAAGAGTGTTAGGGGCACCGCACCGCGTTCGTAGGGGGAACCTCGGGCGACGGCATTGCTTCATCTACGAGCAGAAGTACGCCGAGTTTTTCCCGCCGCCTGCGTTGGACTGAACTACCAATACAACCGTAGTAGTACTAGCAGTTGCTTGTGATGCACTCGAGGAGTTGGCTTGCTTGGCAAAAGGCGCCACGTTGTCCGACCTTACCGCGTGGAGACGTCAGTGGTAGATGCACTCGAGTGTCCTCCGAGCACCCGCGTCATTCTACAGCAGTCGGTTTTGGGTTGGTCCGGCGTCTTTCGGGTGTCGGGGGAACCTGCGGTGGTCGTTGGTATGCCGTTGTCGTAAGCCCAACCCCCAACTTTGGGCTACGGTGGCTGGCCGAGCTTGCTACCCTAGCGTAATTATTTTGAGGCAAAAGTGAATGACGTCGTCAACGACAGGACAAGCGTAACAATACGTAGAAGTATGCCTTGAGCCGGCAGATTGAGCTCAAGGTCCAGCTGATTTCATGGCCAAGGGTAACCTTGAAGGGGAGAAAAATATCGCCATGACGCCCGTTTCGGGAATCACCGGCGACTGCTTATCGTCCGCGGCCCTTGGGCGAGGTTCCACCATGCGAGCTGGTTCTGGTCTAAGCTCTTAACTCTTACTCATGCTGGAATGATTGCGAAAAAATATTCTTGTCAGGACTTTGCCCCCGATGATTGTTCCTCCCTCACGAAAGTATCGCCAAAAATACTCTAAAACAAATCCAAGCACGTGTGCCTTCTCCGCATGAGCCGCCCCACTGCCCTCGAACAACGACAAGAAAGAAATCAAGGATTTCTCCGCCAATAGCTACCCAGTGGAAATCGGCCCGCTTCTTTATCCACTTCACTGGAACGCAAGGTTCTATGGCAGCACACCTACAAAGAACTATCGATCTACATGAGCTTGAGGTGCGACGATATGCCCTCGAACGCCCACACCGGAGCCGGCCCTAGCGCCAGCACGGTACGGGACCCCGCGGCAATCTGGGTATGACCGGCATCCATCTGCGGTATCAAGAGGATGGCGGAGGTACAGTGGTATGGTACAGCACACGCAACAAGGAAGGAGTTTTTCTGTTAACGGGCAAGAGTGAGGGAAACTAAGGGTGGACGCGTCTGCGCCGAGCCAGGGGTCAAAGACCGGCGAACGCGCTGCAATATTGTGTTGTTCATCCTGCCTGTGTTGATGGACATTGAGATAAACAAAGCGCCCGCTGTCAGTTGAGGGCTCGGAACAGCGGGGTGTTCCTTAAGGTATGGGAATGCCGGGGTTTCGACACCACACATGCGTAAACAATCGCAAAAAGAGGGTTGCGAACACGTGTTAGCGCCAAAAAGATGTGCCGACGGTGAACTGGTTGTGCCAGCAGCGTTTCTGTTCCATAACGGCTGTCCGGTGACACACGGACAGTGGTGGACTCGAGAAAAACGCCCGGAGTCATCACCACTTCATCGGGCATACGAGCCTTAGGATGCCAACATCGACAACGAAACGACGGCAGGTCACGCGATACACTATCAGTGCTCTAACGAGCACCACGAGGGAGCACGGAAGGCCAACCAGCTCACCACAAGATAATTAACCAGACCGGCCGCTTGCGCCTTGGCCTGGATTTCGTAAAGCTCTGTCTCGGTTGGACACTTGACACAAATCTTTGCCTGCCCCATTTGTTCCCACCTGTCACGACAAAATCATCATCGCCATCAGCAACAACCGTGAGTTTGCTTCGTGGAAACATGCGCGCAAAGCGGGACCGACAACTGCAATCGCAATAAAAATCGAATTTAAGGGTGACAGCAGCAGCAGCAACGTAACAGGCTGGTCTCAAGGCGGGGCCTTCTTTCCACCACATCGGCTTTCGCGACTGGTGTTGGCACAGCGATGCCCGACAGTCGCATGCTCAACTACCGCTGGGTGGGTTGAACACCAACAGCTGCGAGCAGCTCTGTGGTTGGTGCCTGTGCTTGACGCCTATTGATGGGCCACGCCGCACGTGGAGGTTTGCTTGCCTACCGAGTCTCGCAACCATCACTTTGCACTCGGAAGGGCCAGGGCTACGCGAAAACTACTGTATAACCTATCACACGTACACACAGGCGCGGACGATATCCGCGAGCATGAGCCGTACTTCGACGAAACACTTTCGAGACGAAAACATACGAGACAGCAAACAAGCATCACCTCTGATCACCCCGTCCTTTGCTGCAGATGACGCCAACCATGATACTCAAGACCAGCACCACGTGAAATGTACCCGCGGCTGCAAAATACAATCGTGTGCTAACTCACCCTCTCAACGCAGACGGACAGTGCCTCTCCGAAATCCTGTAATTGCCGAGCGTGGCGTGGCAACATTGCGCCACTACCTGGAACCGGCGTGGGGTTTCAGAAGGAGAGACACCGACCAAGCAACGCCAGAACTGTAAATTTAAGAGCATGTTCCCAACCCATAGAAAAAAAGCTCGTGAGAGCGCCGACAAATACATCCTACCGCGTCGTTGAAACATCCTTGGTTTCGCATAGGCGTCGGACTGCTGTTCCTCAAGCGAGATTTCTAAATAATTGCAAGGGTTGGCTGGTGAGGGTGCCTGAAATTATACTCACAATGTCGTGAAAGTTCCAACGCTGAGCTGTGCTTCGTAGCCATTTCCCCTACGTTTCGCGATGATAATGTAAACTGAGTCATCTTCGCACAACTTTTCTTTTATGCGGGCGCGGCAGTTGCACCGTTTCACAACCCTGCCACCAGGGTGACATGTCGAGCGGTCAGAATTTGCTGCAGCAAACACCGACCAAAACTCGCCTTCCCCTTCCCCATCTTGAGCTGCATGTTGACAATGAGCACGAGTTTGAACGGGCCGTCGTCTAAGGACCATGCCCGTGCCCCGCCGTTGGACTGCAGGGCTCTCTCCTCCTCCTCAAACTCATCCTCGAACTCGGCGTCACCCCGAGACACCGGTCCTCGCCTGTGTGGTGGGCAACAAAATATAATTCATCGAGGGGAATATCTGTGTTACGTTTATACGCTAGTGCCTTACACATTGTGTGCTTACAGTGGCCGATAGGCGCTGAAAATCATCTTCATGGAGCGAGGAAGGTGTGTGCGATGTGTGCTAATAACTATGCATACGAGTAGTCAACAAGCTGAGAGACAATGCTACCGCCAAACTGTTGCGAAAATCAATATGGCATGTGCGTGGTGCACCGGTACCTGCGCTGCATCCTCGACGTAGTCATGTCTGTGTGCAATTTCCACGAAAGTTTGAGTGACACGTATCGCACATTGCCTGCAGGATGAACACAATTCCATGCACGGTATCAGCGCCGTGGGAGAAGAAATTCAACTTCTTGATCCGCCGTTGCATCCGTCTCTAACGCAATTAACAACAGCGACTGACACGAACCAAGGGGTGCGAGGTATGCGATTGGCTTGGGCCGCGGGCGGGCGAAACCAACCACAACCCTAGACATGTGAATATGGCCCTTTGCACACACATATATTGAAGCAGTTCGTGTTGTCAACCGCACTCTGACTAATAGCGTCTTATTGGTCAGCCGGTTAGCGCGGTCGATGCTGACAAAAACACACACACACACACCGTTTGGGACAATCGATGCTAATTCACACACAAGTAAGGGGTTGAGCTCGAGAATAACGCAGGGAGGAACGAATCTCAATATTCTGAGGAGAACGGAACGTTCCCAAAGGTTGTAGGATTTGTGGTGAAACACAGGTGAAAAAGTTTGGGTTCGTAGAGTTGAGCCCCACACACAAGATTGTGCAATAAGATACCGCACCCCTTCATCGATTTTCAAAGATCGATTTCTCCTTGACGTCGAAGATGCAAATGTTAGATGATTCGTTTTCGAAAAACTCTCGACGAAATGGTGCCAACGCTGCCATTTCTCGGCACCGTCGCCGTTTTTGCTACAGAATACTTGAGGTTTGAGGATCGGCCCAGGTGGTATCTTGTGTAACGTTCTGCAAACCACGATCGTAGGTTGGAGCATCCATCCTTGAAATTTTCACAGCACATGCGCGTGTTATGCCGCAGAGAGGCGGTCTTACTCGTTACCGAAACCAAAAGCTGTCACGTGGAGGAATGCCGTATTTGTCCGCCCACCCACCTGCAGCGTACCTCGACCAGTCTTCGCACTCGACAGCAGTCGACCGGCAGGTAAGCACACAAAACACCAAGACACATCAGTACTCAACACACACATGGGTAAACTGCTGCAGCGAGTTCCTTCTTCACGCAAGGTGATGAAGAACCACGGAGCTCAATCATCGCACCACGAGTCCAGCACAATGCACATGCAGGGTAACGCAACACCGCACTCCCATGTGAACAGCAGCAGTGCCAACGGACATACGATTCATTAAGCTATTGAGCTGATCCCATGCTCGTCAGACTCGCATACCTACGTCGGCGAGATGAGAGCCAGTGCACCACAAATGCTCCGGCTAGGAAACTTGCAACCGAGGCTCCAACCAACTGGCTACTATCTCGGCTGCTCTCCATTGTGTAGAACTCCTGGGCTCCTGGGTAGATGTGTTGTTGATGTGCTTGCTGCTGCGGCTGGCGGGGAGGTGCGGTCCAAAGACTATGACATGTAATAACCATAGGCCGATCACTAGGGGGGGGGGATGGCAGGGGACGCCGTTGATGCGCGGCCGCTTTTTTTTTTTTT